CTTTCAAAAGTTCCCTAAAACACATATACTGAACAACGTACTTTATATTTAAATACTAGCTTTATCATATGTATGATACAAATATTATTTGCAGCTAAACTTTATTTGTACTTGCCCACGATGTTCCACTAATAATATGATGTGCAGAGTAGCGCATTAACAGCTCCATTTTTTTTTCTTTCTTTTTTTCTCTCATTTTTTTTTATTATTATTATTTTACTTATTTATTTCTGGAGATTTTGTTTTTTGTTTGTATGTGTATGTATGTATGTGTGTGCAAGTATATAGCCTGCATAGAAATGTATATTGGTTAGGATTGGGCCACAGACTAGATTAGTTCGAATGAACTACCTCTGTGGTCCACACCAAGAAATTATTATTATTATTATTATTATATATATATAATGATACCGTATAATTCATGTACAATAAAATACTTTTTTTTCTATTTTTAAATAATAGGTACTGTAGAATTTATAATGGACAAAAATCATGATTTTTATTTTATGGAAATGAATACAAGATTACAAGTAGAGCATCCAGTAACAGAAATGGTAACAGGATTGGATTTGGTTGATTGGCAATTGCAGGTATTTAACAGATTGACAGGGAATGAATGTATGAACAACGTGTTATAATGAGAATCTATTACATCTAATAGCATAATATATATATCACAATGCGTCAGTGATACCATAATAACCCTTGAGGCAATCATTTTCTCATGTAGTCATAGAAACACATGTAAGAATGACTATTATCATAGAAATTTTTTCAGGTTCTGCTAATGTTCCATGCATGTGTGTTCTACAAAATGTCATTCATGCTATTCAAACTGTCACATTGACGTAACAGATTAACCAGATTGTTTACAGGGATGATGGACTCATCCTATTTTGCCAATTTTATCCACGAAATACCACGTATCATACCATATATCATACCATGTATTCATTATACATCATGTCATAGATAGACAGATATATTGGTTTGATGATTCTATTCAAAATGGCCATTTTTGTGCTAAAAAAATCATCAAATATCAAGCGTTTCTGGCATTTATGGATGGATTTCTTTCAAATTTGGTACATATATTAGACATTACAGGTCTCTGATTCACATCATTTATTTTTCAGATCAGATTCAAAATGGCTGTCTGGCGGCCATTTTGTTTTAGTGAATGGGCTTCTAGATCCATATCTCCGACTTGTTTTGACTGATTATGTTCAAATTTTAAATATTCATTATACATCATGTCATAGATAGACAGATATATTGGTTTGACGATCCTTTTCAAAGTGGCCAAATGGTGGCTATTTTTGTGCTAAAAAAATCCTCAAATATTAAGCATTTCTTGCATTTATGGATGGATTTTGTTCAAACTTATAACATACATTAGACATTACAGGTTCCTGATGCACGTCTTTTTATTTTTCAGATTGGATTAAAAATGTTTTAATGATTGGGCTTCTAGAGCCATATCTCTTAAATGCTTTGACTGATTATATTCAAATTTTATATATTCATTATACATCATGTTATATATATGGCTGATTATATAAATGGCTGATTTTGAATGCTGTTCCAGAGCAATATGGACAAGTACTTGTTTGACGATCAGATACAAATGTCAATTATTTTAATGTTAAACAATCATCATATTCCTGACATGTTTATATTCCAGCTATATTACTATAAACAAAACTATATATCTTAAATTCGATAACTAACAGGGACTGTGCCATGCATGGCTTGTTTTTATCAATTGGCTAGTGGGATTTTTGAATCTTGTTACAGTTACAAATTTCTTTCTCTCAAGCATGTTGTCTTTGTAATTTAGATACCATGTTGCATTGCATCTTGTCTATTTGGGCCAACCAAAAGTGAAATGGCCCCACTGCATGTACCTGCTTATGGAAGAAATGACTTAAAATTTCTTCTTTACGAAGCTGTGACCCTAAAGATAGTGTTTATAATTTATTGTTCGGGCAAGAGACTATGGGACTCTTGTGAGTTGTGATGATAAATCAACCCCAGTGACCATTCTAGCACCTGACAATGGAAAATGTAGAATAGACAATTTTCTTTTTACTGTGAGTTTCTATGTTATATGTGAAATAGAACGTGAAAGAATTCTAAATTTGGGTGATTCTTTCATGTTTATTATTGTGCTATTGACAATTAATGATGGTCAATTTTGATTAAGTAAGGGTATCTCAACACCATGGCATCTCAACCTTCACAGCTGACGCCAATATCATTAATTGTCTTTGCTGTCACAGATTATAGTCATTTACTGAACTGTAGTTTTTTTGTATTGTTTTTATTGGGAGCTCAAAAATAAGAATAAATGTAGAAAAAGACACAATAAATGAGCGAGTGTAATCATTCTTCCTCTTTTAAGAATAAAATTCATTTAGACAATGTTTACACTCATAGGTTGCTTCAGGCAAACCTCTTCCTCTGAAACAAGAAGAGCTGTCTTTGATTGGACATGCATTTGAAGCCAGAGTCTATGCAGAAGATCCAAGAAATAGCTTTCTTCCTGGAGCAGGTAAACTGACTTATCACAAGGCACCAGATGTATTGAATGACACTGTCAGATTAGACACTGGAGTACAGCAAGGTATGCACACTTTTATTATCTTTTATTATTTCCTTCAATGCAAGTTACGCTTTCATAAATGGTCAGTGGTTGTGTGTCTTTCATGACAGGTCAGTGGTTGCCAGGTTAAATGCCAAGTTTAATGTTATTGTTACTATTTTTTTTTTAGTTTGAATTTTCCTAATATGTCTACTCATCACAATGATCTTATTCACATACATCAACAATTTACATGTAAATTGTTTACAAGATACTGCTCTGTTGATATGGTGACATATTGGCTAATACTGGTCAGTGAGGACATATTGGCTAATGGTGGTCAATGGTGA